TTTCTCCATGAAGTTGGAAGCAAGACCACCAGCAGAGTGAGAAGAAAGGAGAGAGGAGAAGGTAAAAATAGCCGTCAGGAGGACGGGAGAGTTCACAGAACTGATGCATATTGATGGTCAACACAAAGGGTGTTTGAAGCTATGAATCTGAGACCAGTCAGCCTGGAGGTGAGTTTGTTTCCGTCACGTCCAGTTGCTGGGGTGCAGGCTAGAGAGGACACAGGAGAGGGGTTTTACCAGATGGACAGGACGGGAGAGAGGTGCCAGGGAGTTGGTATAAGCAATGGACTGATCAGAATGATATGTCCTGGAATCAAAACTGGGTAAGCAGGAAAGGGTAGATGTGATGAGAGGGGACACTGAAAAGGAGGTAAGATCAATGGGTGAGAGACAGGGCCAACTTATCTACAGGAGGCACTGTGCAAAATTCCCACAACTCCTTTAGGGACCTGCAACATGTTTTAATTTTAATGTATTTTAAAATCAAAAGAAAAAAATGGAAATAATAATAATAATGAATATACAGCAGGTACTGAAATAACATTATTTCATTTGACATCATTTCACTATAATGTTGATGAGTCACAAAAAAAAATGACACCCTGGCCAGTGTTTTTCAGTGGTTGGAGCATCATCCCGTACACCAAAAGGTTAAGGGCTTGATTCCAGATCAGGGCACATACCCAAGTTGTGAATTCAATCCCCGGTCAGTGCACATGCCGGAGGCAACCAACTGATGCTTCCCTCTCACATTGATGTCTCTCTCTCTCTCTCTCTCTCTCTCTCTCTCTCTATATATATATATATATATATCCCTTCCTCTCTCTCTGGAATCCATGAAGATCTCCTCAGGTGAGAATTTATTTATTTAATTTATTATTATTTTTAATCCTCACCTGAGGATATTTTTCCATTGATTTTTAGGGAGAGTGGAAGAGAGAGGGAAAGACAGAGAGAAACATCAATGTGAGAGAAACACATCGATTGGTTGCCTCCTGCGAGCGCTCCGACCAGGGCCCAGGCTGGAGAGGAGCATACAACCGAGGCATGTGCCCTTGACCGGAATCGAACCCGGGACCGTTTTGGTCCACAGGCCAACACTCTATCCACTGAGCCAAACCGGCTAGGGCTCCTCGGGTGAGAATTTAAGAAAAATAAAAAGGAATCATTTCCTGGCCAGGGCCACTGTCTGTGTGGCACTTGCATGTTCTCCCATGTCTGCATGGGTTTTCTCCTGCGGACTCTGGTTTCCCACATTCCCAAACATGCACATGAGGTGAATTGAGTATCTACATCCCCCAGTCTGAGTGAGTGTGGGTGTGTGAGTGCGTCCTGAGATGGAAAGGCATCCTGTCCAGGGTCCCCACCTCATCCCCTGAGCTGCTGGGACTGGCTCCGGCCACCTGGGACCCTGAACTGGAATAAGTAGGTTGGAAAATAATCTTACTTGTTTTTATTAATTTTTTCTTAAATGTATATATAGCTCATATTTATATCAATGTTTAACATTAGAAGTGTTTTGGTTCTTTATTTCGAAGTTTAATGATGTTTTGTTTTGGTGACCAGAAATATGCCATAGGAACATTAAAAATTTTATTTTATTTTTATTATTTTAAAATTTTCAGTTACAGTTGACATACATGACTTACTAAGTGATCGTCCCAATAAACCGTGCATATTTACATAGTTAGTAGAATATTATTGACTGTATTTCCTATGCTGCATTTTACATCCCCATGACTATTCCGTAATAACATCTGTAATTTGTTCTTAACCTCTTCACCTTTTCACCCATCCCCCAAACCCTCTATGCCATAATAACTTGTTTAGATCAATTTAGCTTATGGTAAAATTGGTTTCAATATAGGTATGTCGTTTCACTTAAAGTCTCAGTTTCCAAGAACCTACCAATAACATTAAGTGAGGACTTACTGTAGAATAATGCATCTTGCTTGGATTATACTTGTCTTTACACCAATGCAACCATAAAGTATAGTCTTACTATTCTTTTGTGGCGGAAGAGGGCCATGAAGGTGAAGTGCACAGGACCCACAAAAGTTGTAATGTAGCCCAGTGATCCCTGTGGATCCAAATTCAACACATGTTAAATGCATTTATAATGGCAAAAGCAAACACAACCTAAGTACACAGAATTGTTTGAGTCTAGGTACTAGAGGGCATAGGCTGCAAAGATACAAGTTGGTAATAGGAAAGTGTGATTATAATAGGAAATTGAGATTATGGAGTGTGTGAAGAATTCGTAGTAAGCCCTAGCTGGCTTTGTACAGTGGATAGAGCGTCAGACTGTGTACTGAAGGGTCCCAGGTTCGATTCCAGTTAAGGGCACATGCCTGGGTTGTGGCCCTGACCCCCAGTAGGGGGCGTGCAGGAGGCAGCCGATCAATGGTTCTTTCTCATCATTGATGTTTCTATCTCTCTTTTCCTCTCCCTTCTTCTCTGAAATCAATAAAAATATATTTTAAGAAAAGAATTCGTAGTAACAAGGTTTGGCTGAGACAATCCTCATTAGTGGAGAAGAAATCAAAGAAATGGGAAGTTGGTTTTTTATCAGTTATCTATTGCCATATTAACAAACCACCTCGAAACTTAGTGGCTTAACCACCATTTATCTGCTCATTGTTTGGTAACACGGGCCGGCCTCAGCTGAGCATTCCGTTCGTCTTGCCGAGGCATCATCTGGCTGCGGTCATCTGGAAGCTTATCTGGGGCTGGGTAGTATGACCTCACATGTCTGGTAGTTGGTGGCCAGGGTACCTCAGTTCTTCTCCATTGGGCTCCTCATCTTCCAGTAGGCTACACTGGATTTCTTCCCATGATGTTGGAAGTATTCTGAGAGGGCAAAGGGGCAAGCTGCAAGGTCTCGAGGCCCAGACTCTGGGGACTCACACTGTATCATTTCTGCTGTATGCTTTTAGTCAAAGCAAGTCATAAAGCCAGCCCAGATTCAAGGGGTTGACAAACAGACTCCACTCCTTGCTGAGAAGGGCAGCAAAATCATTGCAAAGGGTCACGTGAGACAGGAGGAAGTGTAGTGGCCATCTTTGCAAGCACATTTATTGGGAGAATTGTCTCTGTGGTACTGAATCATCAAAAATCTCCAAGAATTTGACAGAAGTGGGAGTGAAAAGAGTGAAACAACCCAGGTGCTAACATTTTTACAGCATGAGGGAGAAGTAGTAAGTGACACAATCCGATGCTATCAACTTCCAAAGTTTTAACCATCTTTACTGTCTCATCAGTGAATGTCAATGAATTTCATTAATGAGAAGGAACTGTTCATTTTCCACAACTTCTTTGATGCAGTCGCTCCCCAATTCAGAATCTGCCTTAAGGAAGGATCCCAAACCATGGAGAAAACCACATGCATGGAAACGTGTGGTGCTACTAGACACAGTCCCCAGGATGATGTCCAGCACAAAGTAGTAGCACATAGGTGCTCAGAAATATTTGTTGAATGAATTTATAATAGCAAAAAAATAAACACAATTGTGTAAGGATCCAATTGTGAGAATCCCATAATGAGGACTAAGTTAATATATCTACTTAATGGACTATTATGCAGCCATAAAAATTATGCTTTTGAGGACTACCAATACATTATGTGGAGTAAAAAAAAGTCATGATACAATATTACAGGAACTGTGTAAAAACATCTGGGTAGGAACAGAGGTAAAAAAAACCCACCACAATAGTGTTTTTTTTTTTATGCTAGTAGGATCATGGGTGATTTTTTTTCTTTTTACTTCATTCTAAAGCAGTGGTTCTCAACCTTCTGGCCCTTTGAATACAGTTCCTCATGTTGTGACCCAACCACAAAATGATTTTCGTTGCTACTTCATAACTGTAATGTTGCTACTGTTACGAATCGTAATGTAAATATCTGATATGCAGGATGGTCTTAGGCGACCCCTGTGAAAGGGCCGTTCGACTGCCAAAGGGGTCGAGAACCACAGGTTGAGAACCGCTGTTCTAAAGGATCTATAGTGTTATTGCATTTCTTTCATAATAATAAAGTTGTACACGTTCATTGTGGAAAAGGGGGAAATGCAGAAAAGCATCTTTAAGAAAAGATAACCTATAATTCCATCATCCAGAACAAAAGTTACTGGTAACTGAGGAATGTTCGGTGTTGTCTCTCCCTGCTCGCAGTTAACATACTCTTAGCTTTTTTTTTTTTTTTACATCTTCAGGCTTCAAAAAGGTGACTTTTGATAGTCACATAATCTATTTGACCTACACTAATTGGACATCATAGATTGTTTGCAATTTTTCACTGAAAAACAAATTAAAACAAAATGAATGGTTAGAGCTATGGCATTACTCAAATTCAGAAAGCTCTTTAGGGAAGAGGAAGTGGCTAGACTAGAAAGATGAGGTGGGTGTGGCTGTTGCATTCAATGGAGACGGCAAGAAAAACTAGTCCAGGGGCTCCGTCCCCGAGGGGTGTCCGTGGGAAGCTTCTGCAGGGGCTAGAGATTCCTCCCTCCAATCTATGGAATTTAAAGATGGTGAAATCTTGACCTGGAGGCTTAGGTGGTGTTCCTAGCCTCTGCCCTTTTGCGCAAGCAAGCAAGAGAACTGTTTCCTGTCCTTGTCTTGCACAGGTGTCTCTGAGCCATTAGCCTGGACCATAGTCCTCCCCTACTCCCCCCCACCCCCCAACTCTTCTAGTCAGAGCTCTGGGTTTGGACGATTAGCCTGAGCTCAAGAACGGATGTGATCCGGGGTACAGGAGAAGGAGCTGGGGTGGGGGTGGGTGGCGGGGGGCGCATGTAGAGTCAGGGGCGTTCCCAGTCCAGAGGGGCTTCCCAGCAGCGGTCGTGGAAAGGAAGAGGGTGGTGGTGACAGAGATGGGGTGGGGGTGGGGCTGATACGGAGGTAGGCATGGGTTGATCCTGGAAGGCTGTGCACGGCAGCGAGGAGAGAAAGGAGCGGCGGGCGCCGAGGAGAGGCGCAGCCATTTGAAGCAGGTGATGGAGGATTTACTAACCGAGGAGGCGTGGGCTTGATGACAGGAGGCGGGCGGGGAGCGCGCCGCGCCCTGAGCGTGTGTGGGATCCATGTGAGAAGCGTGATGGGCCGCGGACTGGTGAGAACAGAGGTGGGGCGGGGGTGAGAGGCGCAGGTCAGCCAGGCTGCGATTCGCGATGGGAGAATAATCGGGCTGCGCACATCTGGCCGGCACTTGCAGTCTCCTCTCATTTAGATTCCCGTAATTTCCTCCTTTCGATGAGGAAAGCCAGGTTCGGATAGGTTAGGTGGCAGCGGAGGGTGGGGGCCCAGGGGAGAGAGCGACAGCGGAGAAAGGGGCGAGCGCCGAGCTCCCAGAAGAGGCGT